ATATGGTTTCAAGGCATAGTACAAGCATGGCCTGAGTTTATGGGAGGCTCTAGACATGTTGCTTTTTCCTTTGACATTTCTTGTGATCGGAAGGAACAAGTGAAAAGCTCTATGCATTGACTTTGTGATTAAAGCTTCTTTACAAGAATGGAATGGTTACTTTGTGCCATAAATGGAAAATTTACTTGGATAAAGCTTGAATCAAGTGGATAATAGCTCAAAAGTAAGTGTAATCTTCTGATTATGGAGAGATCTTGAGGTTTAGAGGCCTGCCAAGCAAGGTTGTGCAACATAGGTTTGAAATTGAATTCTTGTTCATCACAAAATGACTTGTATTTCAAGTTTGAAAACCCTAACTTCCTCTCTTTGATTCTCCCTGCTCAAGAATGATCTCAATGAGTTCTTGGACATTTTAGAAAGCTTGTAATGTGCTATACAACCCTTATTTGAATTAATTTTTAAAATTCCCCTTGGAACTATATGAAAAGTGCCATGAAGTTAGGTCAAAATCCTGACCAAAATTAGGGCAAAATTTCACTAAGTGTTCAATTTCAATACCATGACTTTGTGAACTAATAACTTGAGATACAAGCATTTTTAGAAGAAGTTGTGTAAAGAAATGATGTAGATATCATGGAGATCTATAACTTTCATGTTGAAAGTTTCTTATGAATCCTCTTGCATCATGGTGAAAATTTGGCTCAAAGTTATGAAAAAACATGAAGTTTTAAACACTTAGAAAAATTTCTAAGGTAACTTTGACTTTTCAATATGAAATCTTGAATTTTTGATTTCTTGATGAATAATTTTCATATTTTGACATGTTTTGATGAATTGTGATCTTTGACATATGATTTTGACCAAAAAGTCAAAGTTTGACTTTTCAGTGTACAATTGACTTTTGATTAGTTGACTAAAAATTCACTATCAATCCAATTGATTTTGAAAAAAGTTTTAGGTCATGCCATTAGGTCAAAGTGATGCAATTGAACTCTTGAAATCATGCTTCAAATCAATTGACCATTTGCTAGGTCAAAAATCAGAAATTGCCTTTAGTCAGTCAAAACCTTAATTTTGACCATTTTGCCCCTTTGATGATTTGATCAAATTTCTTGAGGAATTATGGTCCAAAATTGATCAAATGATACATATGAGTTTATAATGTTGATGTGGATAAAAAATTGTGAAGTTTGACTGTAAATTGGCCATAATTGACTTTTTCTCCAATACAACTGGTTTTTAGGTCAACTCCTCAATTGACTGAGCAAAAGTGTGATCCAAGGCTTGAAACTTGAATGAGTAATTTTGGGGGTCCATAATGATTCATGAAAGTCATATGAAGCATTTAAAGTTCAATTATCTTAGTGCAATCTCAAACCCTAATTTGAGTCATTAGTGCTTAAAGAGGTGTCTTGAGCTGATCAAACCTTGTGCAGTCTTGAACCAAATGAGATCTTGTGAGAAAATATTTAATAAATGAGGGAAAATTTTGGGGTACAACAGCTACCCCTGTTCAATCTTCTTAAACCTGAAGAGTTAGATTGACAGATCTGCCATTCGTGACTTGAAGGTGAAAGATAATTGAACACTAGAGTGCCCAGAAATTTGCACTCGAAGATTGATGGTGAATGAGCTTATAGATGTCATTTGGAGGAATGCTGGTAAACACTGGAAGAAGTATCAGCACAAATCTCTTGTTGGTTTATACTAAAGCTTGATGTTTTACCTGTGAGAAAAAGAGTTAGTAAAATGCAGATGCCTGCATGATGTTCACCAGATGTGGTATCATGTTAAATGCATATGGTATGTACATGATATGATGTATGAATGTGAGATGTATGTTTTTTTGTCCGAGAAAATAAATCCCTGACTGCTGTTGAGGAAATTCTGCTGAGGAAAATAAATCCCTGATTGTCGTTGGGAATGAAGAGTATGCATATCTTCAAACTTTGTTGAAAGGATGCTTTCACTGGAGAATATCTCTTGAATGTCAGCTGTTATCTGGTCGGATCTAGGCTTCACAATTTGCTGAGGATGAAGTAGTCAACTGTTATCTGGTCGGATCCAGGCTTCACAGCAACTTACTGGGGGAAAAGACGAATTAACTATTATATGGTCGGATTCTAGGCTTTGCAAAAATTTTTCTTGAAATTGAATAGTTATCTGGTCGGATCCAGGTTTCATAACAACTTGCTGGGGATACAGAAGTTAACTGTTATCTGGTCAGATCCAGGCTTCGCAGTAACTTGCTGGGGATACGTAAGTTAACTGTTATCTGGTCGGGTCCAGGCTTTGAAGTAACTTGAAGTAGTAACTATTATCTGGTCGGGTCCAGGTTTCATGGTTTTTGAAAAGCTGTATTATTATCTTGTCGAGTCCAGGCTTCATAGTGTCTCTCTGGGGATCATAGTTAATTGTTATCTGGTCAGGCTCCAGGTTTCACAATAAACTGTTTGAAAAATTATTATCTGGTCGGGTTCAGGCTTTGCAGATTTCTGAGGTTGATGAAGTCAATTGCTATCTGGCCGGGTCCAAGTTTCACCATAAACTGTCGGGGATTTAGTTGTTATCTGGTCAGTTTCCAGGTTTCACAATGAATCTCTGAAGGTAATTTCTATCTGGTCGGATCCAGGCTTCACAACAACTTGCTTGAAAAGATGAATTTGAAAACTAATATCTGGTCGGATCCAGGTTTCACAGTAATTTGTTGGGGCTGAGGCAAACTCTACTGGGGAAAAGAAGTTAAACCTTGATCGGGTTGAGTCCAGGTTCTTTTATATCTTTGAAGAGTTAGACTATTATCTAGCCGGGTCTAGGCTTCATAGTATCTTTTTGGAAATAGTAAAGGCTTTGCTGACGGCTTTACTGGGGATCAGGGGTTGTGGCCCTATGACTTGCAATAATCTGAAAGGGAAATTCAAACTGGAGAGTGCAAACTCAGTCGGGTAGGACAAACTTAGCTTGGGGGGATACACTCAACTGGGGAGGATATACATAGCTGGGGATAACGGGCTCAACTGAGGAGGATGTACTATGCCGGGGGAATACAGACTCAGTTGAGGAGGATGTACTCGGCTGGGGAATTTTGTGGTTCCTCGATTGTTGTTGGGAAAATAGAACCTATTGGAAAAATAAAATCTGTTGAAAAAGTGAGTTTCTTTTAGGAAGAGATCCACGAGATTTCAAAGTTGAATACGTAGACTGCACCCTACATATCATTTAATGATAATCAATATTTTTATATAATTGTTATCTAAAAATATAATATGTAGACTGCATCCCTGTATATCATTTAATGATAGTCAGTATTTTTATATAATTGTTATCTAAAAATATAATAAAATAATATTAATCTTTATGTTTTTAAATTGATGAAACATATAAATTGATGAAACATGATGCATAATTTAATTAACTATTTAAAGCGATTCTTATTAGTTGAGAGGTTGCATTCACATTGTTAGGCTATTTACCTATAACTACATCTCCAAATATTTAGATATGATTTAAAACATTAATAAGAAAGTGCAATTTTTATTTAGATATGATTTAAAACGATGTTATTTTTATATTACTAGTCTAATAGATTTTTTTAATAGATATTGAGATGAGGTATAGTATAGAAAAAGAGCAAACAGTCATACACCTAAAATAGTTTTACATGGTCAACCAATCACAATTATATATTTAATTATATTTCATATTTAATTTTAAATTTTTTTAATGATATGATAAATTGTTGATTTTCAATTGGTTGAATGTGTAAAAAAACTTTACACTGATTGTGTATGAATATTATTCTCATAGAAAAAATAAATAGAGATGGAAAGCTCTTAAAATATGAATCTTAGTATTTTTTTTAAATGTAAAATTTCTATATGGGAAAAATCTATTATTGATCTAAATATTTTTATACAAAAATAATATTTATGATCTAAATATATTTTTTTAATCAAAAATGGTATTTAAGAAAAAAATCTATTATTGATTTAAATATTTTTATATATGAAAAATTACTATTGATCCAAATATTTTTGATAAAGATGTCTAAATAAAAATAATATTTGTACACGGAAATATAAAATTATTGATAAAAATATTAATTATTAACGGAAACATAAACATATTAATCAAAATATTTTTTCATTAATTATACATTTAATTATTATTTTTTTTATAAATATTAGACATTTTTCTATTAAAAAATATACATCTGAAACAATGCGCGTGTTATACCAGAAGTCCTACAAACACACGAGTTTGTTACAAATTTTACCTAAATTACACATCAAATATATATAACGTGGCACTTGCAATCCAAAACAAACAACCTCTTACCTTTTTTTTGGAATAAATATTAAATATATAGCAAAAGAAAATGCTACAAAAGGGGAACAAGTTAAACTATAAATAAGAAAATGAATCTGGTTTAGGGTTTCATCTGATTCCCGTTTTGCTGCCGAGAATACCTGCCAGATCAATAGGGAAAACGGCGCACCTTGCTTCTGCAAATTTCTCCGATTTCTTTCTTTAGGTAATCACACCAATTTTTTAATCTTCAACATAATCTGTTTCTACATTGATATGAATTTTGGAATTTTTTCTTCAATTTGAATGTTATCATAAAATACTAACGAAATCATACCCTTTAGGGTTTTTCTGGTATTAATTTATCATCTCTTTGCACATTGCCATGAATTTTGGTATTTTCCTCAAGTTCAATGTTATCAGAACAAAACTTACAAAACATATCCTTTAGGGTTTTTTCTCGTGTTTCTTTGCCACATTATTTCTTAAGAAATGATTAGAGTAAAATTAGTATTATCAAAGCATTGGTTGGTGAAAATTTTGAGTGTGTCGTAAGTTCAATTTTTGGATGTGATTAAACGTAATCACAAGTGTCAGTGCTGGTGTTCGACACGGACATTCAGAGGTGTTAGTGTTTCATAAATTGTTTAAATACTTTTGCTATTCATAACAGAATCATCATAATTTGAGCTATGGGAAAGAGGAAAGCAAAAACAAAGCCTCCTCCAAGGAAACGAATGGATAAACTTGACACTTCCTTCAGTTGCCCTTTCTGTAATCATGGCAGCAGCGTTGAATGCCGCATGTAAGTAGTCATATGCTCCTTGTAATTGTAACGATTTTGTGTCCCTTTTTTGTTAGGTTTTAATATTTATTCTTAAGCATTAGCTCGTATGTTCCTCTGAAAGCACTTTCAAAACCATCTTGTTTGAGCTATGGTATTTAATTTATTACGACAATTTATCATTTTGTTTACACGATAATGATGAATTAAGGATATTAGTTGTTTTGAAGCTCAGTTTTGGTGTTCTTTTGACAGTGACATGAAGAACTTGATAGGAGAAGCTTCTTGCAGTATTTGCCAAGAGAACTTTAGCACTACTATCAACGGTCTGTTTCAAATATAGTGTTCACCATTTACTAGTTACTGTGTTGATTCTTAATGAGCCTGTTAATACCAGTTGATCTATCATGAAATTAGCTAAGGATAGCATAAAAAGATAATCTTTTGCTGATTTTTACAAGAAAAGCAACTTAATACCAATGACTTTCCCTTGACACTTGCTTTTGATGTTGTGTTTTAACTCGATACGAAATTGCTGGCATGTCCCTCCAAGCTAGACCTCTTCTTGAAAATGTGAAAAAATTAAAAATCATATCTACTATTACTACTGGCGATAAGTAATCATTTTTGCAATCTTTGACTGAACATCAGCAATACTTTCTCTGTCTCTTCATTTCATGTTTGTGACTTTTTAAAGAAAACAAAAACTAGTTTCCCCCTTTGTATTCAGATTGAGAAAGAAATGTTCTGCTTTTTTTATTAAAGTGATCTAAAATGTCAGATATTGACAAATTTATGTATTCGCTGAGAGCGTATGCATTGAAAGTCTATCTAATAATTTGTTTTCTTCATGTTTGCAGCTTTATCCGAGGCAATAGATATGTAAGTTCAATCAATATATGTGGAAAACACCCTCCCCTTTCCACCTGTCTCTTTAGTCTTTCCATGTCTTTCATATTCATGACTCAAGGAGCTTTTTTGTAACTATGCAGATACAGTGAGTGGATTGATGAATGCGAACTGGTGAACAACCAGGAAGATGATGGTGCTTAGCTGCAACATTTAGAATCCTTGTTCAATTCATATCATAAGCACAAGTGTGCATCTAATGATTAGTTTACAGCATGTAAAAAGGAACTTGGTGATAACTGTTCTATGTAGATGAATCTATTTTGATTGGTGACTAGTATGAAATATCCAAGTTTGTATTGCAGGTTGTGTGCTTTTTGCATTAGCAAAGCTTTTATTTTGTTCTTTGTCTTTGGACGTGTCACCTGAGAGAGTGGTTACCTTCTGATTCACCTAGATGTGACCGTTTTTTTTCTTCATAGTATCGTTTATTGCAATGTTTTAAAAACCGAGAGCCTATTAAGGATCAAAAGAGGTTTGAAACTAACAGGACCAACAGAAACATATTTCAGCAGCCTCTAATGCAGAACTCCTGTGCGAGAATTGGCTATTATTCACAATGTCTCGGCATGGAAAAAAAATTGCCTTATCTTGTTCCTAAGAAGAAGAAAAACGGAAAAGAACAAATCCCACCAAGGAGGGTTAGAAAACATAACTCTAATTTACATTTAAACCAGGAAATTGATTACAATGATTGGCGAGAAGCTCTAAGTTTACCTATTTCACTGACTTTTAGTCCACTACAAAAGAGAAATAAATGGTAGAATAAATTTAGACTAATTTCATATAAGCTATATAAGTTGTTTGATTTAAATGCAATTTTAGTTTTCATATTTTTTATTTTATAATTTTTTAGTTCTTTAAAAAAAAAAATAGTTTTTTTGGTTTCTTTTATCATATTTCTTGTTTTATTTTTTGTCTCCTTCACATTTGCAAATATAACATTTATAACATGGCAAGAAACATGTGGCATCACATATTAAAAAGTGGTTGTCACATTGTTATGTAGCATAAAACTTTTTACTCTACTAGATAATACTTTTAAAAAGTTAAAAATAACAATCAAATATTTTCAACAAATTAACGGTTGTGGTTATTTGACGGTATAAAATTATATTTCTTTATCATGTCAAAGTATTTCAATTATTTTCTTATTTAAAAAACATTTTATTTTAATAAATCTTATATTAATTATGTTTTTAAATTAATTTACACTTTTATATTTAAATTATAAAAACTCAAAGATATTAAATAAAATAGAAAGAAAAACCCTTAGTTCCTCTATTTTCCTTTCGAATCTCACCTGATATGAACCCTAAAAGCATTCGTCGTACATATTTATAATCTCATCAATTTTGTTTCGTTCTTTTCCTAGAAGCATTTATCATATGTGTTCGTCTCATGCATTGTGCTCTTGTGTTAAGAGAAGATTTTCTACAATGAACAATCCACCAACATCATGGAAAAGCAACGAAGAAGTTAAATCGTGTCTCGGTTATGTTATTTACTATCCCCCATTTAGAAATTTAAGTTAATGTATGTTTTGTTATTGTTGTTGTTTGTGGTCTATCTAAAATCCTAATTTTCTATCATTAGTTTGTGGTCCTAAAATATATTACTCCAATAATGGACCCAAGAGTTTAATATGATATGTGAGATGCTGACTATATGTCTTATGTGTAGTTGGAAACTTTGATAAGAAATCGAGGGATATAAAAATATGAAGTGTATGTGGTATTGAAACCCTAAATTTAAGATAAATCTAATATGTTTTGTGTTTGTTTTATGTCTACGAACACCATTCATTTTATTTCTTTCTTTTCTGCACTTTTTCAAATCAAAAGCTCTCCCTTCTTCTTCCAAAGTTCAACAAACTTTTCTGCAACTTCTTCCTCTTCAAAACATAATCAATGGCGTCCCAGAAGAAGTCAAAGTTTGGGAAGAGTAAACAAAACAAAGACGATGTTGCTTCCAACCCTTTACTCAAAGTAGCAACACCCATCATGACTGGAAATCAAGAATTTGTTCCCACACCATCTCTGAGGAATGAACAAATTACCATCTACGCTTCCCAGGTAATGATTCCCTTCACTCTTGCTTCTGATACCTTAGGATATATGGGTCCTATACCTAATGTATCAGATATATCAAAACTCAAGAGATTTTTTCCTGCTTACCACTTGACTAGACCCATAGCTAGTAAACCTAGGGTTAGTAAGAAATCTGCTGAAAACACTAGAGTAGAAGACGAAACAATTCCCCAGGAAAATACTCCTCAAGAGGGTAAAGAAAAAAGTGAACCTTCCTTTAAGCTAGACTTCGTCACAAAAGTTCTGAGACCTTTTAGGCCAGGTCCATCGAAAGAGGACAAGAAGTACCTTGGATGGTTAGCTAGGATAGAGAAAGCGAAATCGAAAACATGGAAGAACCTGAGAATCTTTGATTTGATTCATCTATCGAAGTTTGGCCCTGGATACTGTCAGCTAATGCTAACAGCTTCCCTGTACTTCTGGGATAGTACTTATAACACCTTTCACCTACCCTGCAGAATTTCAACTCCAATGCTCTTCGATGTTGCTGTAATCACGGGCCTTTGACCCATAAGAGATACTTTCGACCCTACCTTGGACGCTGATGACTCCATCGACTTCAGCAATTCTTTTCCCCACTTACAACAATTACATTGATCACTACTTGGGATCGACAGACGAAGTTAGTGATCAGGAACACATAACTTTTCTTGCTTTATGGATTTATCGATGTGTCTTCTGCTGCAAATCTCTGCAAGTCGCCAGAAGATTTTTGACCCTCGCCAACCAACTTCATGCTGGTCGAGATGTTTGCTTGAGTGAACTAATTCTTGCTGGACTGTGTGAGAGTCTTGGGGAGGCTCCCATAATATTAAAAAACTTTGAACAAAAAACCAACATTTTACTAGCTGGTCCGTATTGGCTACTTCAGTTGTGGCTCAATGCCACCTTCGAACCTTCCCTTTCGAATAAAAACCCAATTGATGAATCCGACCCTGAAATCTATAACAGGACTGTCGAAGGGACTAGACTAGTTCGTTTAACCCTGGATGATGGAGGGCAAAACTTGCAAGAGTGCTTCACTAGGCACCTGATGATGTTTGCAAAGAGGTACAAATTTAACCCTTCAATGGCACCATTTGCTCAAAGAACCCATGGCCCATAATGGTTCATAAGACCTCTCACTGGCCTTTCGACTGAACAACAAACAAAATTCCTCCAGATTTGGGAAGCTCTCCTGATCCCTAGACTTCTCGTTACCAGAATTATGCCCAAGAAAACTCAGAATATTTTACTTACTTACCAATCCAATTTTGTCGCAAGACAATTTTGACTTTGCCAAATCCTTCCTGAACCATTGTACCGCCACAAAAGTGACATATGTCATAGAGGAATGAATTTCACAACTGTCGAAGCGAAGAAAATTATAAGCAAGTTCACATGCTTCCTCCACCTCAATCTTCTCCCATTCAAACCTTTGACTTTTTGTACTCAAGACTTTGAAAGATAGTGGCAAGAACATTATGTATCCAATATGTTTGGTGTCACTGACTTCAATAATCATATAACCAAAGCTTTTGCCTCTGTGCAGGACAAGACGAAGAAAGGTACGCATCGACACATCAAGGAGATTCAGGCATTCCAAAAGTACTTTGAAATTGTCTACAAGCCTAATGATCTTGGTCAGACCATTCGAGATGCATCTGTGATTTTAAAGGAAAAGTTTACAGAAAAACTCCCACGTTTGAGTATACCTTTGTGTGTCAAACCTGAGGATCAATATGACTTGGCTTTTCAATTAGAGCCTCCAAAATTCTCCAGATTGCCTACAGCTGACTTCGCTTTGGCTTGGTATCCACCTTATCCTAACTGGTTAAGTGTGAAGGGGGATTTCAAAGTCATGAAACAAGATACTTTAAAACTCAAAAAATGAGTGGATGCGACCAAACACACTTTGTACAGTTTCAAAGGCTTCCTTCACTTGGATTTAAAACATGTCAGAATGGACACTCCAGAAAGTGAAGGTGTGGAAACCAAGGGCTCATTGGCTACTCTGAATACATTTCTCTCTTCTCAAAATGATTCTAACCATACATTTATTTTGTAGCTATCGAAAGAAAACACAACAAGATGGTGAAGCTTACCACGTCTACTGGGTCTGTGAAAGCAACCCCACAACCTCAACCTTTGACAACCAGTGCCTCTGAGGAAGCTAAAGAAACACTCAAAGTAAACAAGGTAATTTTTTTTACTCTTTTACCTGTTTTATCTTTCGAATTATGTAACTTACTTGTTTATATTTTACTTTGTTGTAGGATAGCGGGAAGCCACCTCTCACTCCCAAGAAAAGAAAACATACCAATGATGATTCGATCACTGCTACAGAATAGGCTGATGCAACGCCTTCCAAAGACACTGTAAAAAAGCTTCAGAAGAAAAAGAAGTCGAAGCCTTCTAGTGCAGGTTCTCCTTCACATGGAACTTGTACAGTCGAAAACCTTCCCCCCAGACCAAAGAAAAAGAAAGAAAATTTGGCGTTGAATGTGGCCCATATCTTGGAGCAAATCGAAAGTGACAATTCTAGCCTTGGGGTGGAGGGAGCAAAGGTAACAATCTTCCACTAAAGGAATACTTAAATTTCCTTTAAATATTCTCATTGGTGACTAACACTTCACTTCGCAGGATCAACAACTTCAAGTTACTAAATCTCCAATTCACTTTGAAGTACTTCATAGCAGCAACACTCCATCAATCCATCCTTCCTCAGCAAAGGATTCCAATAAGGGTTCCACTATTGACGCTTACATGCAAGATCTTCAGCAAGAAGTCCCAACTTCACCTCATTCCTCCCAAAAGTCAAAGACAGAGGAGTTTGACCATGATCAGGCAAACACTGCTGTCCAAGAAGAACCTAATAACGCAAGCTCAGAAGAAAATCATTCTGCTGATTCTTCCCCAAAAGAAAATAGAGGAGTTTCTGATGAAGATGAGGACTCGGCGAGTGAAGCCAACAAAACTTTTGCTGAGAAGGAATATCCACCAAAATATGATACAACAATGCAAGGAAATGATAACAGCAATGATCAACCCCAACAGATTCCACATCAAATTGAC